TCTTCCATGTCGACGTTTTCCTCCTGATCGGAGGTATGACCTTGTTCAGGGGCGTTGAGTATTTCCACTTCCAAATTAGGTTCACTTGCAACTTTAGTTATGATCAAGTTAACAGTTCGGGGCTCTGATTTTCACAGAGAGTTTAAGTAACATGCCCTGGAGCTCATCTGGTAAACTCGTACCGTGGCAATCCCATATTTAGTTGGGAATTTCATGCATAAGTAGTGGATAGAGGTGACAGCCCAAAGATCATTCAAGGTAGGTCTGCCCAATACTCCATGGTAGGCTGATTTGTGGTCTACCACTAAGAATTTCATGAAGTGTTGGGTCACTAGAGGAGCTGAACCCATCTCGATGGGCAGAGTAATTTGCCCTTGTGGGACGATGTTGTTTCCAGTAAATCCGAATAGTGGATCGATCATGGGGATCAACCCATGTTCAATTTGCATCTTGTCGAATGTGGAGCCGAATAGTATATTCACCGAACTGCTATTGTCGACGAGCACGCGTTTGAGCCCGTTTCTTGTCACTACGCCTCTCACAACCAATGCGTCATAATGGGGGTGGTGAACTCCTTGTGCATCTTCCTGGGAGAAGGTGATTGGGGCCATCCTATTTGCCTATTGGGATTCGTTGACAATGTAGGTGAGCATTGGTGGGTCCTTTGCTTCCTTTGTGTAATTCCTTTGGATATTCCTGGTGTTGTCACCGATGTGAGGTCTCCTAATAATCGTGTTGATCTCCCTGATGATTTGGCCTCTAGAAAATGGGGCCTGATCTTTCTATCTGGACTCTCCTTAATCCCTTGATTCTCTTCTCCGGGGTGACTGCACTCTATACCTTCTCTCTCCCCTGTTCGGGGAGGCGGATCTGTGAGGGTATTCGTTCCTTCTGGAGGGATGTGGGTTGTTCCGATTCGGGCGTCGAGGAGTGTCTCTGCACTCACCGATGTCATGCCTATAGAGTTGGTGGAAAGCGCAAAATCTTGCCCATTCCAAGGGCTTGTTTGACCATTTCTTCTTCTTCTTTTTATTACTATCAGTTCCTCTAGATGGCCCTGCTCCGGCAGGAAAATTCTCGTATGCCAACACTGGCACTGCATTTAGCGTGGCAGAAGCCGATGCCTGTCTGGAGGTGGGAGCTATTGTATGACCTACTTGAGTCCATTGTTGATTGACAAGGTGTATTGCGGTCCTCAACCTACTTGCCTTTGAGGTGGAGGGAGTCCCTGCGTGGAACGGTTTCGGTGATCAATCATCTCTTCGCTGACGACCTCAACTCTCATCATTTCTACCAGTTCGTCATAAGTGGTGGGATTTTTACTGCGCACATCCCTCCAGAACAAAGTGTTCATGTTGAGGCTGCCTTTCAAGGTTGAAAGGGCTTCTCTGTCAGTGACCTGCTCGCAATATGTGATTTCATCTGTAAACCTAGCAAGATAGCTTTTTCAGTGTCTCTTCAGGAGCCTACCTCATATCTTGCAGGCGTTGCACCGGGGCCTCTCATTCTCTGCGTGAGAGGTACTGGTTTAAGAATGCCTTCTTCAAATCTGGCCAACTCTTAATGCTCAAGGGAGGAAGTCTGATGTACCACACTTCAGCAGCTCCGCCTAGGGTTAAGTGGAAGGCTCTACACTTCAAAGCAGGCGAGGCTCTCTTGAGGCTCATCTGTGTCATGTACTTGGTGATGTGCTTCTCCGATTCCCCTTTCCTTCATACTTGGGGATCTTAGGGGGCATGAAATTCGCAGGCATTGGGAAACTTTGGATTTTCCTTAAGAAAAGGGAGGTTATCATTATCATCATCAATTTCATAGGATCAGCAAGGCCCATCTGACCTTTCATCATCTTGAATGTTCTGGAGAGGTGGAGGTGCTTCTCCTCGACTGCCCCAATCAACTAAATCCCTTCTCTCCTTCCTATTTCTAGGAGGAGGAGGTGCTTGTTTTTGCTTCTGTTCTTGCCGAACTGATCTTCGCACTGAGCGGACCCTATTACTATTCGATCGAAGATGCTGACTGACCTTTGTACTTCATATTCTTGAGGAAAATTGTCCCCCAATTGTGGTTCTGCTGGCTGTCTCCCTTGCACATAGGATGTGGCTTCAATACCTACTTCTTTTTCGAAAGGGTGCTCTTTGTGTTGGCTCACATTTTAGCCATTCCTTCAGTGAGCATGACTGTTCTTTCACCTCGGCGACGTCGATGATGGGGTCTCTGGTGAGTGACATTGTTACGGAGCACTTCTTCTTCAGAGGCCTCTCTCATAGGGTTCTCGTCTTCATGGCTGTAACTCATCTTATCTCCTTTTTCAAGGGTGATAAGAATTTAGATTATAACTCGACTTTGCTCTTTTACAAGAACGTGTCCTTTTCAAGGTAAGTCACTAGTTTTTCGGTGATTTCTCTGGTGGAGAATGTTTCTTTGGACGGTTCGTTTCCCACAGACGGCGCCAATCTGTTGACCTCGCAATTGGACCTTCCACGTGGCCAACCGATAGTTACCCCACGTATTCCTCCCTACGCATAATCAACAGACGGTCAGATGCACATGGCCGGAACCAGCGGGGGTGGTGGCGACCGCATACACTCCGACGGTCAAGTTAGCCTCAGATGATCGGAACAATACCAAGGTTATGCAAAATAGTGGGGAGGAGAATATATATTTGCTTGTTATGGAAAGCTATGTTTTAAGAGTTTCATTACCTCTGTCCCTTGTCAAACCTTGGGTATTTATAGGTGAGGAGAACCGTTGGATGTGGGACACGTGTATGCATTTGACAGTGTGAGGCGTCTGTTCATAGGCGTCAATCAGCCGCGTCTCTAGAATAGGCGGGTAATTACTTCTCCCGAGTTGAGTTGACATAAAGTTGATACGTCACATCAACTAGGCTTATGGAGATGTCAAATCAATTAAACCTTGGGGGCAGAAAGGATCTTGACATAGATCTCTTTTTGGAATTGACGGTAGATCCTCTGATAGAGAACCTCGAAATGTACTGCGCCTCGATTTCAGGGACGAGAAGCTTTGGTCGGTTCAGTAGATTGTCTATGCCTCACAGTGCGTTAGCAAATCGACAATGTTGGTGGTGGCATCACTTCGAAACCACTTCGGATGGGTGTTGAACACCTAGTAAGACGCGGTTGTAGACTTTCCAAAATGGTTCAGGGGCGTAATGGCTTTCCCCGTCTTCTTCTGCATGCTTTGGTCAATGTAACCCTTATGGAAATACTTTGATGATGGAAGCCTAGCACTTGTTTGATTGAGTTGGCCATCTATTAGCAATCTCTCCCCCCAAGAGAACTACCAAAACCGTTGATAATGTGGAGGCCAACAGTTGGTTAGAGAATGGCAATCTGTCTTTAAGGGTGTTGAGGGAACAGGAAGTGCTAGCCTGGAGTAAAATGTGCAAAACAATATCGGTCCTCAAAAGTAGGAGAAGTTTGACAAAAACTGAAGATATTTGAAGTTACTGTGTAAAATTGCGGATTTAACGTGCTCAGAAAATGGGATCTTCAATTGCAAGCTCCCATCCCATCGGGTGGAATGTATAATAATTAATAAACAAGATTTCAACTAAGAAAACTGTTAGTGTTCAATCCACCTTACCAGATGTACCTAATGGGAATTGATTCTCCTTCCTTCGTTGCTATTCTTTGGTGTTGGGAAGAAGCTCTAGTGATGCTTTAATGATCAGTTGGAGTCTTGGATCTTGTTGAGAGGAGTGAAATGGTAATGTCCGGAAGTATTCTTTATTGTAGTTGAGTAAACATTGTTTTATGAGTTGTAGATTTGTAATAAGAATCTCCTTGAAAGGAAATCTGATTCCTCCTCTTTTTGTTCAATTATGCTTATTGTACGTCGCGATGACATCTTCTTTGACCATCCATTTGTGTATAAAAATTTTGGCCATTGATTTTACAGCCATGCTTGGTGTATAACCTATTTGACAATGTCTTTGATAGAATGTCACACGACAGTCTATCAATGGACAGTTTAAAAAAACACCATTTTTTCTTACAATTAAATTTTGTCAACAATCTTTTCTGTCCACAAGGTGGTAAAAAATAATGTACAAATAGAAAAATCTTTGATTTTACAAAATGTTGTTAAATTTAATCTAGAAAAATTTGCCGACTCACATGATGTTAAAGAAGTTGTCAAATTTAGTTCCCGTTTGTTACTGATTAAAATTCAAATTTTAATTTAAATCAAAGTTAACAATTAATTTTAATAATATATTTTATGGATTCCACAACTTGTCAATCACATTTCATCAACTTTAATTAAAATCTACTAGAAAATTGATTTTAATCTCCATCAAACAGGGTTTAAAATGTATGTAGCATGATTTTTTTTTTTTTTGATTAACTTTGACTTTGTTCTCGAAATTTGACTATTTTTGTTTAAAGATGATTATTAAAAATAACATTGTGTCAATACATGGCTTAAAGATGTTTGAATCAATAAATCAATGGCTTCGATAATCATTTTAGGGTCAATTGTAGTGGCAGTGTCAAATCTTTCAAAAAATGTGTAGATTTTACCCGATTCTTTTAAATTAGTGCAGAAAAAGGGCATTGGGACGACTTTCGTCCAAAAGCTCACGAGCTCGTGGACTTGTAAAAAATGGGGAGGGGGGGGGGGAATCTCGAGCTCATGGGCTTGGTTTGTGAGTTCACGAACTCATGGGTCGAGTTGAGTCGAGCTTGACCCCTTGAGCACGAGCCAAACTTGGCTCATCACTTTGATGAGTTGAGCTTGTGGGTACATGGGCTGAGCCGCCCATTGCCACCTTTACGTTTAGAGATCATTTCACTGCACGAGTTTAAAAGGGTTGGAATTAAAGAGGTAAAAAATGACGATTGAAATAGTGAAATAACAATAAAAAAAATTAATTTTTTGGAGGGAAAAATTGTTGTCAAATGGAGGCTAAATTGTTCTAACAAAATATCCTAATATTTTACTATGGTATTATTTCCATCAAAATGTCATTTAAAAATATCAAAAGTTATAACCAAGTTTGGCCGAAGAACCCTAACACAAGTTTCATCAGTTTAATGCCTCTGTGTAGCAACAGAACAGTGACTACTGAAGAAACGGTGAAAAATACGAGCTTGAATTGGGCACTTGACAAAGTGATTCGTTGATATCTTGTATCTTTGTCAAGAAACATTCAAAGGTTTGGCTTCTGTTTGCTTACATCTTTATGGTTTTTACATTTATGGCATGTTTGGCTGGATAATGTATACCAAACATGAGCTTTTAATTTATGATTGGATTTTGGTTTTGTATTATTTTATTCCCCTGCCACTTGATATATGCATCCGCTTGGAAGGGGAAAAAACAAAATTTTTTCCCCCTTTACTAGAAGAAAAATTGAATTTTTCATTATGAGATTATATATTGGGATTTGGTTGAACACTAGAATGTGCTCAATTAGTATGTTACCCAATTCTTTGATTAAGTTTAATTTAAGATGATATATTTTGAGCTTTTCCAGTGTAAACCTAATAATGCTGCTTTCCCTTTTATAATAGTTCTCTAAAGTGTGTGTTAAGTATTTTATGAATCCTTTTATAGTTTTGTAATTCTCTTTTCGATGAAAGTTCTATACTTGAACTTGAGCCTTGATCTTTTCATAGATTTATCCAACTTTGGTGACAGAAAACAACAGAGATCAATGGCAGCCGAATCTGATGTGGGAGCAACTGTAAGTGAAAATCAGCAGCCGCAACAAAAGATACAACTATATCCCACCTCAACTGGTGAAATATCCTCCTTTTGGAGAGGTCTCTCTCAATTTCTCCTTGTTTTTTCTTTAATTTTTCCGAATCCGCTTCACTCTTTTCTTGATTAATACTTAATGAGCATTCTGCTTGCAGAGAAATATGAAAGAGATGCCAATAAATATTGGGATATATTCTACAAACGTCATCAAGATAAGGTCGTTTCTTTTAGTTCCCCAGAGCTCTAATGAGACATAGAAATTTAATAATTTTAGAAAATAATTGCAGTAGAAAAGGATGTGATCCTTCCTTCGGTGGTTAGTTTTGAAGTTGTGGAGTTAAACGCAGGGAAAATGTCCTATTACAAATGTAATAATCTTTTCAATGTATTGAAGAATTTGATTCTTGAACTGTACAATAATAGTTGATGTATACGCTGTCACTGCTACACGGGGATTTGCATATTCTTGGACCTTATATTTATAAAAATTCCTGGCGACTGTTGATTCTCATTTTTCCCTTTTTGTTGCTATTAACAATCAATATAGTGGCAGTAATTGGTGCAATACTGTCTTTTTTTCTCAGTTCTTTAAAGACCGTCATTACTTGGATAAAGAATGGGGGAACTACTTCTCTGTAAGTAAAGCAAATTTTCTTTTGCTAACAGTTTTTCGTAAATTACTTGGTTAAATTTCCTACTTACACAACTCAATCCTCATAGGGAGCAGGAAGAAAAGTCATCTTAGAGGTAATCCTATTTTCTCAGTTATCATAATTTGGTTGATTAATTTTGTTCGCCTCTGTTCTGGTGCAAGTAATTAATTTGCCTGCACGTGTTAAGCTCACGTTTAAAATTCAAATTTATCATAGTTCTGAGGCATTTAAACTACTTTCTTTATTGGTTTCACTCTAAAAACGAGAATCATGAGAATTACTAATTACCAGGTTGGATGCGGAGCTGGAAATACTATCTTTCCTTTGCTTGCAGCATACTCAGATATATTTATACATGCCTGTGATTTTTCACCACGTGCAGTGAACTTGGTTAAGGTTAGATTTCTTGTTTGCTGTTGCGTGCTTTTGAAATGATGATAGTCTATAAAATAGTTATATTAATAAATCTTCACTTCAAGTGTTTCCTAAATCTTACTCCAATATAATGCACATGAGGCACAGAATCTACAAGATGGAATGAGGATAATGTTTTAAAAAAGGTTTCAACATTTAGAGTATGTTTGGTAAACAATACTGAATAGGACAGTATCTTAATTCATCGACAAGATATTAACTTCCTCCATAATACCGTTCAGATGCACAAGGATTTCAAGGAGGACAGGATTAGTGCATTCATTTGTGATCTGACTGTTGATGACCTAAGCCAACAGATTTCTCCTTCTTCAGTTGACATTGTGACCATGGTATTACCAATGAGTTATGCTTTGATGTAGTTGGTGCTATATTTGAAAACTTATTCATATTATATTATATTATTTTGAAGTTACACTGTTCAAATCTAATTTTTTCCACAACTTGTTGATTATTTTAATTCCATGATAACCAAGTAGCTATTTTACTTATCACACTCGCTGACATGTTAAGTAGGTATTTGTTTTATCTGCAGTATCCCCCGAGAAAATGCCCCTAGTGATACAGAACATCAGAAAAATTATGAAGGTGATTGGTGATTTTATGCCATGATGAATTTCTTTTTACTATTGAGCTTTGTGTGAAATTTGAATTTGTTCAATGTGTATCCTAATTTTTTCCCCTTCGTATACAGCCAGATGGTTATGTATTGTTCCGTGATTATGCAACTGGTGATCTTGCTCAGGTTGGATATGTCAAAGTTACTTTTTCTTCATGGTGCCATAAGCAATTATTGTTTTTACTTCTCTGTGCAATAAATATTAATGTTTACAGTCATTAATTGGTCGCATCATAATTCATATGGCCTTAGTGCCCATGCTGGGACAATTTCTGGTATTTGTTAATTCATTTCAGATTTTTGCTTCAGTTTTTAATTATTATACGCGGGGTGGTCATTACACGTCTCGAGTTTTATCTACCTAATGTTTTATGTAATGTTAAAGCTCCAATGTTGGAACTTTTACTTACCCAAACATTGTTTGGGAACAAAGTTTACTAAAATGTAATGTTTACTTAATTTTGAGCTAAACCAAAGATGCTCTTAATAATAAATGATAATCACGCTTTAGTTAACTTTCTCTCTCTCAATGTCACCTTCTCAAACCCTGCAAAGGCTAGACACTAAGGGATAGTAATATAAATTCTTCAGTAAGGTCAATTGTTTTACTCAATAACAACAATGTGTTTGTTGCAATGCCGTTTACCCTTATGTCCTATCACAGGAAAGGTTCTCAGGCAAGGAACAGAAGATCTGCGAAAACTTCTATGTTAGAGGTGATGGCACTGTAAGTTGTTTATTTATTTATTTCCCCCTCACTCAATTC